TATATATATATATAAGCCGTATGCATTTCTTCTGTTTGCTTTTGATCAGGTTTATCCGTATGGCAAAGAAGAAGGAAGCAAAAGACGCCGGATGGGACAGCGAGATGACAAATACACTGATCCGGTGTGATATGTGCAGTTTTGAAACGGCAGATAGAAGTTACTTCATGACACATCGGGTCAAATCGCATATGGGACCTGAATGTGTTGAGAAGCATGTGGCGAAAAACCGAGATGATGCTAATTATATTTTTCGACAGGTACAGTATATATATTTTCTTTACACAACAGTTTCCAAGGCGAATAGAATAATACGCGGAGTGCTTAAAAATATTATGACGTGACATAAAACCTGGCGAGGAACACCAGATTTTAATAATTTTGACACCTGATATAGTCTGCAAACGTATATATCCCGAAACACCAATGATTCATGCACAACACTCTACGATGATAATATAGGCCTTCGCTTATTCCTTATTTCTGCCCGCTTCGATTTCACGATAACCCGTCGTCTCATCTTCAATATTCAGGCTCAGATAGCGTTAAATACGCGATTCTTCCTCGCCAACAAACGTGTCAACGACTCATCAATTGTATCCTATTCGTTTCGCTGCAACTATAATCGCCGATCACCAACCTCAGTGTGCGTCTGTTCGTTCAAAATGCTCGAATTTCCCGACGCTAACCGGTACGAAATTGAAATGGTGAAGGTGCATTCGCACGACGTTTCGACATCGTGCGAGGAGGAGCTTGATGACTTACCCCCACCTCCGGAGCTATTTTCGTGCCAAACATGTGATCGAGTTTTTCAGAATGAGGCAATACTTCGCGATCACCAGAAAGCAAACAATCACTACAATGTCGTTGAACTGGAAGCTAAGAAAAGTCGCGAGTAAGTAAGCATATTCGATGTTATTGATATTACTAATAACTTTTTGGTTCAGATCACTTCGAACCAAAAAACATAACATTTTCCTAGAGAGCATATTTTATACACCTTTTTTTTTTTTATGTACTTAGTACTTATGTATAACGATTGTAATACGTAAAATAGTACTTATGCACATGTAACTATGATAATTTAATTAGTATACATATATGATATGATCATTTTGTCTTGTAGGGTAGTGAAACAGAAGCAGTTCTTCTGCTGTGTATGTTCAGTAGGATTTACCAAGAAGCTCTCACTGCGGCAACACCAGAAGAACTTTAATCACAACTACACTCCAGCAAATGTGCGTGCCCCGATCAGTTCGCACGCCCACGTAGCCCAGGAGCAGTCCAATATGCCTAAGGAGGCGACAGCAGAAGGGTCATCGGTTAGTCTACTTTTCGTCTGTTTGCTCAAGTTCAGCGCTAATAGGGCAATGACTTGTTGTCCCTCTAAAAAATTGCAATGCGAATTGATGTTCGCTACCTAACAAAATATCGCGGCAATAATTTGCGCCAGTTGCTTCGATTTATGAACTCAAAATCTTGTGTGAACTTGTGTTCGTTCAGGGTTTAACAAACGCTTTTTTCATTTTATTTTCTTTATTGCTTGCCTGGCTGTCTGGGTACGCAGACGGTTCGTGAAAAGAAGGTGATCCAGCTTTTCCCTCATCTGTGCTATGACTGCGGCCAGACACTGAGCAACAAGGTTGAATTACTCAAACATCTGCACCTCGAGCATAAGTACGACGTTGATCTCTTTAGTAAAGAGTTTGCCAACATGGATCTCGTATGGCGTTATTTTTACGAGATTCAGCTCAATACAAAGACAAGATATAAACAGCATGGAAGCCAGAAGGTTGATGAGGACAATTTTAAGATTTATTACATTTGTAACCGCGAGGGTAAAGATAAAACGAAAAAGGTCAACCGGAAGCGCGGCCGGCGAAAGCCTCCAAAAGATGTAAATAGAGCCTGTACGGCACACTTCACGATCCGCCGGGATAATGGCAAGATTATCTGTTCCGGTTCGACCACGCATTATGGTCACGATATTGAAGAGGAGTTTCTGCTCCGCGGCAAAATCCTGCAGAAAGCAATGGAAATAATTCAAAAGGTGCCAGATGAGGCCGCCGAAGATATGCACGTATTGACAGCCGCGGATTTTCCCTATCACTCTGAAAAGCGTGAGATGCATAAATCATACAAGAATCCAGAAGCTATCCTTTGGAGTCAGCCATTTTCGGACACGTTCACAGTTACGCCGAGTGATGATAACAGCTTTTACGTTGGTCCGACAGATAAACCAGCGAGACTCGTCTCGCACAAGACGTCAGTGGATAGCTTCTGCACAATATGTGCTGGAAAGCCAACACGAATGAATACCGGCCAATTGTATCAATGTCCTCATATCTACCAGTGTGACTGTGAATTTTACCAGGCAGGATATCATAACTGCAAGCACATAAATGTGTTGGAACTGTACCTCAATCAGGAATCGACGCAAGGTAATGTACTCTATCTGACAGCACCCTGTTCCGAAAAAGACTTAGCTATAAGAGCGCAGGCCTCGAAGCTGGCCCAGTTAAGTGAGGATGTGGTAAAAATTTTGGAAAATCTCAATGCTTCTGAAGATTCTACGAAGCTTTTGACTTGTAAAATGGATGCTATAAAGGTTAGTATGTGAGATTGATACCAATTAAGAATATTAATTCATGAACAAGTATAGTAGTACACCTCGTCGTTTCATTAACTAAAACCTTTCTGTATTTTAAGAAATGGGCTATTGTAAGATTTGGTTCTACATGATTAACTTAATCATATCCCTTGGGCTAACGCAAGCAGAAACGATGATTTTTTTAAAATGTGCTCGCTCTATTTTGCAGAGTTTGCTGGGATCCCCTGACATCTGTGATGCCGAAACTCAGACAGATGAATTGTACCAGGTTACAGCAATGCCACCGGTTATTATGAGGTCGGTTGTACAACAGCATGATGACCGAGTGGCTGTCGTTCAAGCAGTTGCATCCGAAGAGAACAGGCCCCCTGTGGCTTGCATGCCTGGGACTCCTCTCGTCATTCATCCAATTGAACGTGAGTGTCGGATCATTATACAAACGTGAACCTGGCTAGACTTGTGATCAATTAATGCTTTTAACTTACTCCCTGACTACAACGTGTTTCAATACTGACATAATTTATAATACTAGCATAATTTCTTCATTAGCATAAGAGATTTTCGCTTCTTGCCTATGTATACCGTTTCGTTAACGTTTGCGTTAGCGTTTACAGAAAAATAGGAGTAAAACGAAGAAACCTTTAGAAACAGCCAAAGAGTATGTAGGACGTTTGGATAGAAACAAATTGGGTCTAGATAAGTACAGTTTTGGTTGTCGACAATTTGATACGAATGCGTGCATCGTATTTCTTTTTCTTTACATATAAATGTCGTCATTTCAGGTACTCGAACGCCTGCACCTCGAAAAGCAATCATTGTCAATTCTTCTCAGTCACCCCGTCTAGTTGTCCGCAAAGACGCTCCAACTTCCATGGCAGCCGCTTCTAAAGCCACGGGGACTTCAGTCGGAATTCGTAACCCAACTACCGCTACCGTAGCGACACCGCCCACAAGAACCGCGGAAACAACTACTGTTGGAGTTGGAGTTAGCCATGTCCAGGATCGACGTGAAATCGTACTTCAGTCCCCTGGCCGAAGAGTCCCAGGCAGCTCAACGATGGTTCCAGTCATGGCACTTATGCAACTGGGGGAAACAGACAGTAACGGTACTGCTGTTATGTCTGTTGAACAACTGGAAGGGGAGGTGGCGAATGATGAAACTGAGCTGCTCGAGCAGGTGGGTACTTCCCATCAGCAAGAAATTGACGAAGAAAACCAACTGCGGGGGTCGGAACTTCCTGGAGAACCTGTAGACGCAGAGGTGGTTGAAAGAACCGTTCGTGTAGCTGCTGAACCAGCAATCAAAGGCGCTATGATAGAAAAACGTCATACTAAAGGTAAGGATGGAAATGGCTTTCGTATTACGTTCAGGTGACTGTTTCAGGCTTCGTGTTACCTTATTTTGTGACTGAAGCTCCCGTTCATATCGCAAAGCTGACCACCTATGTAGTTCTTAGTCCAATCCGTTTAATTTCTAAACACGCTCTTTGGCAGGCGATATTTTAAGAGCATTTCAAATTTAAACATGTTCCTAATTTTAACACGCCACTGTTGATAAGTTTTTTGCGGGGCTCAGTAGAATACATTTAGCTGTAGGTAATTAAGTCTACCACCACGTAAAAAAGGATGTTTGCTCAGTTTGATTAAGTTTCAAAGCTCAGTTAGGAAAAGATCAGGCTTCACCTCTTACGGTATAAATCTGAAAAGCTTACCGAAAATGTGTGACCTTCGAATTCAAGCCTATTTCTGAACGCTTTAAAAATTTAGATCAATTTTACATCAGATAATTTATTACAGAAGATGAACTGAACAGAAGTATAGAAAAGCTATTAACGAAAATGTAGTTCGCACTTGGCACGTACGGAAAGCACGTATTATAAAATATTTCACGATATATTACGTTTAAAAAATGTCCGTGCAGAATGAGTACTTTACATTCACACTAGTTTACACAAGTAATAAATAAAGAACTATTGGCTTCAGTAATACCAACGCATGAGGAACAAAGTAAAGCATGTCTGAGTTATTGAAACCACGCTTCGCTTGAAGAAAACGGCGGATGATCAAACACACCAACTAACACTATGATTACACAGAAAAAAAGCTACGAGAACTACTTACTAAAAATCTGTATCTGTCATACAAGTGGCTGTTTCAGTTGAAAAGTCTCCCTCATCTACTACAAATGAATCCCCGCAGAGAACCGCAGATTCAAAGGAAGCCCTCATCTCGCCCTCTGTAGAGCCTCTTGAACGACCTTTGCGGAAGCGTAAAACCGTCGAGGAGACGGATCTGACTGATCCAAAACGCACATCACATCGAGCCAAAAAACCTAACAGAAAATTCGATCTTTGATCACATTTAATTGCTTTCAGTGTAGTTGGGGGTATGTTTAAGCTATTGTCGCTCTAAATTGTTGTGTAAGTTGACGGTAAACCCAAATCCGCGCAAGTTACCAGTAATAACGGCTGGAGCTTTATACATAAGGGCAGGACAAATGGGGTTAGCTAACGCAGGAGCTAGCGTCATATTTTTGTGTTACTGTATATAATGATAAATAAACCAAGAACCTATGCTGTGTACATTAAAAATATACGCGCGGATGTAGGTTTACTCATGTGTAAGTGAATAAGTTCGAATAAACGTTCAGTTTTTTTTAATTGTTATTGTAAACGATTTACTCAATTAATTCGCTACATTTGAAAGCAATCGATCTGCAACGAGTACCCAATCGTACGATTGTGAATCAAGCTCATAGCCTGTATTTAACCTTAATCCGCAATATAATCGTTCGTGGTTTTCTGTAGGTGCGTTTGAGGCAATGACATAAAATAGACACGCTCTGAACGAATTGATCATTATGTCTTTATATGAAACAAATATCCTCAAAGGTAGATTTTGTAGGTGAAATTGGAAAAAGTTGCTTTGATAGCGAATAAAAATACACACATACGCACACTGACACACACACACAATGTATGGAAATAAACAGTGTAATTGAAATAATCTTGTAGGTGAGTCTTTTTTATTTATTTTGTCTTGTATAGTCTTCGCCGATTTCGATTCTATCCAGCAGCAAAAAGGAAAGATTCCTTCGTAATTGTGTTAGGAATTAAGTAACGTAAACTGATAAAATCTATTTGATCATTAGAAAGTTTCCCCGTATGGCAGATAAGAAACCCAATTTTCCTTAGAAGTGTAAGAAACGGAAACATCTCTTTGTGTTATTCGAAATGTAGTTTCTTGAGAAGATTAACGATATAAAGTGTCATGGAAATAAGTGGAACGCGCTTGAACGTAACACCCTAATAAAAGTTATTTTAGCTCTGATTTTAAGCTTTTTATTTCGATTGAAATCCTGCGTTTTGTGCGTAGGACATGCTGACGATGCTATGAGACAACTCATTTCGAATGAATAATTGAGTTTCCATTGATTTAAGTTCATTGTACTTAGTCTTTATAGTATATCCATACTTCTAGGAGTAGTCACGAGAGTAATTAGGTTGTATCATTATATTCGGCACGCTTTGAGGTTTTAAACGGTGCACATAATCATATTACCCAATATTTCGCCACTATCCCCGTACAGTCAGCAATTTACTAACCTTGTTCTATAGTAACAGTATAAAAAGCCCTGTTAAAATAAGTTTCATTTCCCTATCCCCATATAACCCGATTATTACCCGGCAGTGCCATGTTTTATTTAATATTCATAATTTATCTGTGATCTTAGAATAAAAAAAATATAGTTAAACGTTCATATAGTTCACGAAACTACAGTTCCATTGAAAAAATCACCCTTCATTAAACGTCTTTTAATAGCAGTCGTAAATTTAATGAACCACAGTCTTGTTGCTGATTACCCATATCGAAATCCAGACGAAATTTCCTTCGTCCGCCTGTCTAGCATTTCTCGGGTGCTCGGAGGAGCTATCTCTTATAGGACCACTTTTGTATTAAAAGACAATAAAAGAGTTTCCTTTCACAAAGATATCTACTCTGTATGTTACAAGTTGTATTTTTAGACTCTGAATATTCCTTGCATCTATGTACTTGAAAGAAAGACATCTCCATTTTTTTTTCTCAGACGAGAATTTATTAACATGCGTGCAGCGGAAACCAGGAACGATCACCAGTAAGCACTCTTCCAAGTTGTTCAGAAGAGTGATTATGGTTAATCTTCTTTCGAGGTAACGACACGCGTTCCTCTGACACGTCCCGTTCTTCTGGCAGCAATGAGACCGACCTTTCGACCGGCTGGGGTGTTCCTCTTAACAGTCGAGGCCTTACCGATATGCTGGTGGTTACCTCCTCCATGGGGATGCTCAACAGGGTTCATACAAACACCTCGGACTTTCGGCCAGCAGTTCCTCTTGGCCTTGTACTTAAAGTAAGCACGACCGGCCTTCAGGATGGGCTTCTCGATCCTGCCACCACCAGCGATGATTCCGACCATGCCACGGTTGGCTGATGGGACCACCTTTTTAGCACCTGACGGAAGCTTGACTCTCGTCTTTTTTGAGTCGGGGTTGTGGGCAATAATGGTAGCGTAATTGCCAGACGTGCGAGCTAGACGTCCACGATCACCGGTCTTTTCTTCTAAGTTGCATACAGCAGTACCTTCAGGCATGTTCCCGATAGGCAAAACGTTACCAACCTAAAAACAACGTAACGAAAACACGTTTTAAAGTTAAAGTAGCTATTTGTGTGAAACAGTATTCTAAGTGACACAGGAGGTAAGGAGTACAAAAGGCATTCGATCTAGTAAAAGATAAAAAGCACTATTTGAAAGATAATTTCGCCCGCACGTGAATTTTTGGCAGCAACAGCACGGAATCAACAAGGTGGCCTGCTTTATGGGTATGTGCCTGAACAAAAAAATCATTCTATATAATAACTGCCATTTTCGCACTATTCCTCAACAATGGGGTATTACCTAATCGTCATCGTAAAAGAGTCACTGGCTTGAAGTTCCTCGATCAGAAAACAAGGTCGCTCAATTTGACTTCAGTCCGTTTCCCCATCATTTGTGTATAAGTCATTTAGGCATTCCCAACCACTTTTAATCATGTAAGAGTGTTCACCTGTAATTGAGCTTTTTTTCCGCAATAGACAAACTGTCCGGTGTACATGCCCTCGCAGGCGAGAAATAATTCCTTGCGCTGCTTGTAGCGGTATGGGTCTCGGAAATAGACGCGGGCCAGAGGAGCTCCGCGTCCTGGATCGTGCATGATCTCCTTCACGATTCCCTTGATGTAGCCATGACGTTCAGCGAAATCGATCGCACGAAGCCTGGGAGCTCCTTTGCGGTGCTTGTTATGCGATCGGAACACCGACCCAGCACCCTTTCTCTGAGAGCGAATCACACGTCCCATTTTCTAGAAAGTCACAGGAGAACAGAGAGCTCAAGCGAATTAGATGCTATTTACTGTCGACATCACGAATGTCTTCAACAGCCTCCGCGTTCTATATGTGAAAAAATTTCTTTTTATGATAGATGATATCAGTGAAAACGTAGAACGAACTATGGAATTGTAGCACTCAAAGGTTGTCGGCCTGCAGCGTCATGCATCTGTTAACAGAATATGGAGATGTTCGAAGCCATGAACGATCTCCATAAGCCGCAACACTTTGGAAGCAACGAAAGCTTCATTATCTGAACGCAACATGCACTCAGTTGTGATACGATATTTTAGCTTTTCATGTCTAAACTATCTACTTTATTACATGAACTCAGCCTTATAATAAACGAATGATTACGCCGAAACGTCAACAGGCGGAGCGTTCCATTTGCACAAAATCAGTATCCATTAAAATTAGCCACTGAAGTTCCGGCTATCACCCAAACGTTGATCTACGAAGAATAAACTATCCGGTTGGTATTCAATTATTAGAAATTCACTTTACAATTCTGTAGATTTATGCAGATTTTAAAACTTACGTCGGTGTGCTACAGTACGACACCGAGGCCACGGGGAAAAGAAGGATACGATACCGGAACACGCCGTCTGCAACGTAAATGAAAACAAAAGCACGGCGCGCAAATTTTGAACACAAAACACCGAATGCCGTTTCTTTCGCATTTCTACGAGATCGAAAAAGATTTTCTCGCTGATTTCCATATGAGAGTTAGTGTAACTAGGTAATTGTGTAGTATTACAGAATCTCACTCCAAATCATTCATTAATGAGCAATTGTTCTTGAGACCCCCATATGACCCCGTCAGGTGACGGCACCAACTTTCTAGGCCTAATAGTGAGCCCCTAATCGCCATCAAATTTTACGCGCTTACGGAACGCTCGGAGCTCGCCTGGTATATAGCTATGGTTTTTGGCAACATGATGTTATTGATATTAAGGTTACTCCCATGATTACTGCTTTATTATTAGCATTGACACCTGCATAGGTCGGTTGTGTCGTTGTAGGCTACACAATTCCATAGACAAAAAACAGTGTGATTTTCTGCCCTGAATTTAGGTTACAACCGGTCGTGGTGTGGCTGTTTGTTTACAAATGATTATCCCTCACCTCTGTGTTAATGCTCATCACTACGGTGGTGGCGGGAGCTTTCCACTTTCTTGACGACATCATTAATGTAGTTTAAATAATCTAATCCAGTTCCTGTTCTTCTTCCGTACCGATAGGATATCTATTCCTGTTGCTAGGCTCTAGCTACTGTCTTGTCTCTGATTTCTAGCTCGTCGCGCTTAAGGCGTTGTAATCCTGTGGCCTGCTACTTTTGCAGCTGTAGCTGTCTGAGGAGAGGTATTGCACCTGTAAGTTCGTGATTGTGTTATGTATTGTTACAGCTTTGTGACCAACGCACACGGGCTTCGTCTCTCCGTCTGCCTGTCACTCGGTGCGTGAGAGAGTGTAAGTGTCCGTGTTGCATTGTTACTTATAGTTGAATGTGTGTCACGGGGTTGTGCCTTACTGTGTGGGCAGTTTTTTAACTGTCGTGGTCATTTCGTGTCGTGATTTTCCTCGTATCTACGTTATTTCGTGACTATTTCTGCTTATCGTGCGACTTCGGCGGTGCGTGGGTGCGTAATTGGTTCGGTCTGATTGTTTGGCGCGTCACGTGACATCACAGCTGTAGGTCGGGTTTTGTTGTGCTATAGGCAGGTGTCGGTTGGGATGCCAGAATGGGAGTGGCAGGCCTGTGGCAGCTGCTCGATCCTACTGGGAGACCTGTGCGCCTGGAGACGCTCGAGGGTAAAGTTCTTGCCATCGGTAAGTGCACTACAATGATGTTTAAAAAGCACGATCGTGCAATACGGCTGTTGTCAATCATATTAATCTTCAATAGTGCATGCATCTGTAGTTGTATGTGTATGTGTCTATATTCGTAATTTCGTATCTCTAGCTAATCGGCGCCTCGGGCTGGTGCAAGGTCGCGGCGGTCATCGTATACCCTGTGTATAGCGTGCAAGGGGAAATCTGGTAGTGAGTAAAACATACTGCACAACAGGCAGATCTAGGATGGCCTATTGCCCGCCAGTAATTGCGGCGCCGTGGACCTTGTCGGTGTCTTGTGGGGCGACGGAAATCATGTGAGCGCGAGAGGATGGTGACGATCGGGCAGAGTAGCAGACAACACTGGTTGTACCTTACGGAACAGCAGTATATGTAGGTCAAACGAGACATTGCATTAACTTGAACTCGAAGGGGGCCCGAGTGGTTAATAACCTTATATTAGACAAATGTAGACGAAAGTGTGATGCAAGCAGCGAAGGGAAGTTCAAAACAAGGATTCGGCAATTCGGAAGGACCGTCGCGAGTAAAGGTGGCGTTCAGCTTACTCGAGGGAATCGTTGCGAAAAAAACGGCGCCAAAAAACATTCTGTGGGAAAGTCCGCCTTAAGAGAACGACGGGTTTGTAAGGGTTGTTTTAAAAAAGCGACAGATGGCTGTCAGCGGGTTACGTGTACGTGTGACAGGCACGGCTCGACGAGGTGACTACCAAAATATATCTATATATAAAATGTCACACCGCATTGTACCGACACAATAGTCTCCCCAAAGGCTTGTAATAAATATACATATATACGTATATATGCTTTTGTCATTTTTGTTTGTATAATTTCTACCACAAATTTGTTCGTGTATGTACATACAAAAGCATATCTGTTACAAACTTTTGGGAGATCATTGTGTCAACACAATGGGGTGTGACAGATTTTAGCTAAAAGCGAAACCAATTGCGAGTTGGTTTAGATTACTTGGTTTATGCATAGTTGCATTGCACTATGCATATTCTTGTTATATAATTACTTCTACTATACGTTCCAGCCGTATTATTGTGTAAGTTACTCCTATAAAGTGGATTGTCTATCTATAACCAGTACATACCACTTTCTTTCCTACATGTACTGTTTTCAGATATCAGCATTTGGCTGAATCAACTAGTAAAAGGTTACCGGGGGTCAGGTGGTGTGTCGGTGGACAATGCTCATTTACTCGGCCTCTTTCAGCGAGTATGCAAACTATTACACTTCAAGATCAGGCCTGTTTTTGTATTCGATGGTGAAGCGCCAGCATTGAAATACCAAACTCTTGTAAGTAAAAGTTTTCTCGTTCCTCTTTATTAACCTTAACATACAGAGGTAGGAAAAATCGTACGTGATTTTATATAGTAGGAGTTCTTCAGTGATTATTTTATTAGGCTGAATGTGATATCAATCCAATTATCCTTTTGTTTTTTTCTAGGTCACCCGGAAACGACGACGCGAAGATGGTGATGGAGCCATTCGCGCTGCCACGAAAAAAATGCTGCAGACATACGTTGAGCAGAAGCTACTTGGCGAAACAAGTCCGAAATTTCCTAAAATCAAACCTTCAAGGTAAGGGATGTGATAGTGACATATATAGATATGTAATCTTAACTTTCTCGTTTCTCGTTGTAACCGAAAAACAAAATTTGTTATTTATCCTTAAGACAAAAAGGATAATCAGTGGCAGTCAAAAAGTATGTTTTCATATGTAACGCAAAGATCATCACATTATCAAAAAGCTATTAAAGTTACTGTACTGCTATTTACCTAGGACATTTACCGTCAACAGAGAGAGACTTCGTTGCATAAATCTGCAGACCCATGATGTAAATCTAGCGAAGGGAATGTTTTCTTTATCAAATACGAATAAAGTTCGGTTTTAGTCTACTGTAAAGCACAGTCATATTGCAAGCAATAGCAGCTCAGGCTAAGGTTCTCTTCGGACGTTGCAGGCGTGATCAGGCCGAAGTGGATTTGTTCCAACTGCCAGAAATGCCCCACACGTTATCTAGCAGTGGAGATGAGTCGTCTATGTCTGAATCGGCTGTCAACATTACTCGGGACGCAGACCTCACCACGATCAAAATTGACTCTGAGGAATTTAAATCGCTTCCGCAAGAGTTGCAACACGAGTTTCTCGTGGCGTTGAAGAATCAGGCAATAAAAGGAGCAGTTGATGTGGACGAGTTACCCGCTGACAGAAACGATTTCTCTACATATCAAGTGGAACAACTTCTCAAGAAGAACAAACTGCAAGCTCGAATAAAAGAGATGCAGCAAAAAATGAGTGATGGTATGCTCAGGATGGCGTCCGACGCTAGTGTGAAGGTATTACTCAAAGTGTCACCTCATCGACGAAATGCCGAGGCGAGAAACCAGGCTGAAAAAGATGGAGATGATGAGTCGCCGTCAAAAAAGGCGAAATTGGAACGACGTTTAATCGAAGAGGACGATGGTATTGATGCTCTACAGGAAGACACCAGGGAAAAACGGGTGGAAAATTTTCTCATCTCACAATGGTTGGAAGGAGCCCAGCGCGGAGAGGAGAGCAACGAAACCCTGAAAAAGGCCGTTGAACTAGTCCGGGATGAGGTTGAGGTTATGTCAGATAGTGGTGCTAGCTCTGATGAGGCGGAGCAGCCTCCTTCGATCTGCGAAGTTCGTAAACGGTTGCTGTCCACCGGTGGAAAAGTCAGCGCCGAGGAAGCCATGCGCCAGCATGAGCCGACAAATGGTCCTGTGAGCAAAGAGGCATCTCGTGATAGCGTGCTAAGTGATGGCCTCTCAATGGAGGTCGGTCACGGCAGCATTATAAGCGCTAGCACATCGCGGGTAATGCAACCGGATGAGCAGTTTGACGAGGGATCTCATAATAGGCCAGCATCGGACTCAGACGGGGAAAAAATTGACGGAACTCTTGCAGAACCACTTGTCGAGGACTCAACGGAACAGACCTGCAACACCGACATGCTAAATGCCGATCTCGAGGTGTCAGAAACGGCGAATTCAGTGTTCAGGATGGAGGAGGCGGCCGAGCGCTCGAAGAGCCAAGAGGACGACGCCAACACGGCGCAGAGTTCGCAGAGCTGCAAGCTGACCGAGGTGATGGGATCTCCTGTTATTAAAGAGGTGTCATTCCTGGGCGGCACGCAGAGCTCGCTCAATTCGAACGATGACATCGTCCTGCCGCAGAACCTCAGCCGCTACGCGAGTAAAGATCCCAGTCGCTGCAACTCAAACTCGTTAAGTTCCATTCCGGGTACGCTAGGTGGCACGGCTGGATCGGGTGCACTTGCGGACAATCCGACTGACTTCCATCAGGCCCTCGAAATTATTCGAGAGCAAGAAAGAAGACAAAGCGAATATGCCGCAGATTCCACTTCTACCCAGGATGGTCGTGATTTCAAAAAGGGGGGCTCTTTATATCTCGCTAGTGACGAGCTGCAGGATTGTCCTGTCCCGGAAGGGGTTGCTGATAGGGCGACCAATGGGGCAACTGGCGTAGTGGCAAAAATGAGCGACACAAGATTCGAGGAAGCGAATCCTGAAAAAAACAATAACATAGAAGAAAAGACGATACCAGATAGGAAAGCTGATGACGATCTAAAGACAGAACCGTCATCACAAGCTACAGAAATTGTTGAAGCAGAGATGAATTCTACAACTGCAACTATCGTTGAAACAACAAATCAGAAAACCGCGATCAACGGAAAATATAGTGTGCTCAATGGGAAAGCCGACGAGTACGAAATGCAGAGCGTAAGAAACGATGAACAGCGGCCAGCGGAAGAAGAAGTCAGTGACTATCTGTCGAATTTAACTTCCGAATTCATAGCTAGCCAAAAGCAACAACTCGAGCTGCAGTCACAGGCTTTGCAGAATGAGATTAATCGAATCCAGCGACAAACCGCGGAGGTGACGGCATCAATGGCAGATGACTGCGCAGAGCTTCTAGGTTTGTTTGGAGTGCCGTTTGTTCGGGCTCCCCGTGAGGCCGAGGCTCAATGCGCCGCACTGGAACACACCGGCCTAGTCGAAGGAGTCGTTACCGATGATTCGGATATTTTTCTATTTGGTGGACAGACGGTGTACAAAAATCTCTTTTCGCAAAACGCCCATTGCGAAGTGTTCACAGCGAAAACAATCGAAACTCGACTAAAGTTAGGTCGAGAGGATTTAATTGGATTCGCAATGTTGACTGGTAGTGATTACACGAACGGAATTGAGAACGTTGGTCCAGTGACTGCATGCGAGATTCTGGCTGAGTTCCGAGGGGAGCAAAGCAAGGATGTACTCAAAGCGCTCAGGGACTTCAAGGATTGGTGGACATTAGCGCAGAAGGGAGCGATCTTGCCGAAGAATTCAGTCCGGACGCGATTTATCAAGTTGAGGCTTGATGACAGATTCCCAAGCGAGATGGTGTTCAGTGCGTACGACAAGCCGATCGTGGACAGTTTTAAAGAGAAATTTTCATGGTCTCGTCCCGATCTCGATTTATTGCGAACGTTTGCGTCTCGTAAATTTAATTGGCCCCAGGACAAAACCGATGGTTACTTACTGCCGATAATGAAAAAGTATGAAGATCGCAGTGCTCAATCGAGGATTGATAGCTTCCTTTTACCCAGCATTCAAAAACGCGAAAATCTGTTTCCTAGCAAACGACTAAAAGCAGCTGTGGGAAAAATTCGAGCGGCGCCACAGAAAGAGGCCAATTTGTCTGAAAGTAGTTCCGATGAAAGTGATTAATATAGGAAGAAGGTTATCGACGTATTGATGACAGATGTCACCTACGGACTAATGCTTAGAGGCGAGAAGGCTGTTGAATAATTGTTGTTTTTTAAGGGATTCATGGAGAACTATGATGATGATGGCTAGAATTGTTCTTTCACCGAAAGAAATATCACTATTTGCAAACCGTTTGCGAGTGTAATGTAAAATATGAGTAAAGAGAAATTAAGATGGAGGGGTAAGGATAAGTTTTTTTGAAATATAAAATATTCCTCGTATTAAAGTTACTTATTGTTATGCGAGTGACCAAATATGCGACCAACATGAGCGGGGTAATACAAGTTTAATATTGCTTCGAATATATATATATATATATAAGCTCTTTATCGCCTAGTATCATCTCCGAGGCCTGCTTTTGCAGTGGTTCACATTTGATTACCCCCTATAAAATACCGATAAAAAGTAACGCTCAGAAATCATAAAGTAATGTGTAGCATAGGATCTACGATTTGTCATTTATTTATCAATAATAAAGATATTGTTTACTTCTGTTAAGTATTTAGTAAAAAGCAAGATTACAAAAAAAAACATGAAATGAACGAATTTTTATACCATTGGACTAATTAAAGTACATCTAAACCTAGATAGGTATGACAGTATCTATATGATTATTGCTTCGAAAAATATGATCTTGCGAAAGCTGGAGCGAGGCTATTCGGCTATTATGAGCCGAGTTCGTATTCGTGGGTAATTATAATACGAAATAGGGCTGCCCAGATGACGACTCTCGTACTCCGTGGCCAGTCAGCGATGCGGTGAGAATGGATATGTGTGCTGCGTGTTTCTAGTGTGTTCGATTGTACATATGGTGCGCTTTCATGGAGTGTGTTGCTTAAAGACATACAAATAAAAATGTAGATATATTCATGCTATCATTTAATAAAAATAAAATTAAACGCAGAAAATGTAGGACAGAAAGTAAAGGCTGTTCTCCTATACTTTTAATATATGCTAATAATTGTTTAAGTTCTGTTACTTTCCGTACAGTTTATGTATAAGGTGAATATTTGGTCGTATTTATCTCGGAGTTACTTAATAAATATTACCATTCAGAATTTTTTTTTAAATTTAAAAATTAAGAGGTTTATCGAATGAGAAGATTTTCGAACGTCTTCCTTGAATAAAAAAATTGTCCTATACACAAAAAGCCAGTGTCGTTATCTTGAAAATGCTGGAACTTCATTCATTAGTAAATGAGCCTATAAAATCGATTCTCTGACTACGCAGTATATAGATATTTATTGTAATATATATTGAACTATTGAAACTCTATAAATCTCGTCCATTTTGGAAATAAGTGATTAATAAGCAATCCTGTGAATGAGGATTATAAATAATGTAGGTTGCCAAAACATTTCGCCATATAAATTGGAGCATTTTGTAATAATTACTTTCTATTGATTAAGGTCGCAACGTGCGAGATGATAGCTCAAAAACCGTGTTTTTGTGCGTTATAAGAACATAAATAATATAGAACGCTTTTTGGTTTAAATTTAGAAGACTTGATCAAAAAGGAAGGGAACGTATTTAGATAAAATATATAAGGAATTTTGGGTCGCTTTTCTAGAGACAGAGTAATAACCTATTTCAAGCTGATTCCATAATAAATTCATCATGTACGCTGCATTTGAAACAAAGCTCTCAGTAGCAGAATTTCGATTGGACACGTTTGTACTTGAAATTTTGAGGTGATTTTCGTGCCATCGGATCAGAAGATGCGGAGCACACACATTGGATCGTCAAAAAGGTTTTCCTTCAAGATGGGAGTCCGAAATTCTGTTAAAAACTTGGGACAAGAGCACTCTAATAGATACACGGAATGTAAACTTTTTATTAGTAAACTGTACATTGATGGCACTATGCGAAGGACATACATACAGAAGCAGTTTTGAGCCAAAATTATCTGCAGTACAACGCGGACCAGCTTACGGCGAACGTTGAATGTCAAATATGTTTATTTGGTACTAATAAATTCAATGTAGAATATATTTTTCAATAACATGTATAGTGACCCTTTAATGGTATACAGACTACATGGTTTTATTCTATTCAATAATAGAGGCCAGTAAATACTCTTGTAGTACATTTTTAATATCCGAGCAATCCAAAAAATTAAAGGATTACCCAATTCATTATGAAGGAAGAACTAAAGTTTTCATGAAAAGAGGTTTTTGACACCATTAGGGCCCAAGCGCCTTTCTATAATCTTTAACGTCCTGAATTTGTATTTGCTTCTAAATGACGAGCATTATGGCTTTTGCTTTGGTTGACGCCATAATCTTAAAATCATAAAAAAATAACAATAGTGTCATTTCTCGTACTGCTCAGCTGCATATATAAATATCCTATATAAGGCAAATATAAATTGCTGCTACTTATTACAACACGGAGAAACATGTTATACACGCTTTTCACATGACACCCTAATTTGAATGCCGATGCAAGCGATCAGCGTGCTTGTAGATTATTGTTTATTGCTCATGCTTTTTTATTTATCAATTATGTACCGTCATTTTAGAGCAACATTTCGACCAATAATGCTTACATGTTACCGGTGAAACTTACTGTTACCTACTCTCTGTTATATTTAGTATTCACATGCTTTACCACTTTTACTGCAACATTTTATCATACTTTAACAAGCGTTAACAATAAAAATCATCATTTGACATTATTAAACCATGTTAAAATATGAGCATAAATGACTGAACAACACCAATTTTTCACTCAGTGTAGAACCACTGATTAATAGGACAAAAAAGAGGTCGAAGAAAAATCAGGCTGTTAAGCAGAAAAAATAGACACAAAAAATTATA